TGGATTATCTCGCCATATCTGATGAAAAATTAGATATTCATGCTTTCATTGTAAAGAGACAGACACTTGCAGTTCAGTTTCGGTGTCTTTGCACATGTGCCGGCTTCCGTCATCATGATGTGGTGTGTAAGTGAGATGATCCTTGTGAACATATGCGCACTTTCACGCCAGAACGCACCGACACCTACCTGAACAATCCATCACCATTGACCTAAAAACAATCGCAGAATGTGATGCGTGTCAAAACGTTATTTAGTTCCCATTGACACCTGTGTGATCGCTAGTCTGACAGGAAAAGTTCAGTGTTGTGTGAGCAATGGGAACAGAGCCCTGCTTTATTTACCCAACTGTGACAGCCCTTTTATCAGAGCCTCACGGAATAGCACCTGTGTGTGTGTCAGAGCTGTGAAGTCACATGTGAAGATGGCCATCGATGTCTCTAACTTATTTCTCTCCCTCCTTCCATGTGCCCTTCAGACGGTCGCTGATCCTCACGCTGGTAGATAGACTCCACACAAACTGTTTTGTGATACAATGCTGTGCTTCCTCTTATCTCTAACCAGTGCTCTGCCATGACAATGCCGTCGTCAGGAGAACTCCCGGTTGAGTATTTGCGCTTCCACAAGTAAAAGCTTAGGGGGACTTATCTACTCATGCGTGATTACCATTTTAATAGGTTTATTTTCAAGTCGAGCTTTTGTGGTTTAAAGAGCATGTGAAAAGTAGAAAAACCCTTAGTTTAACAAAGCTCAGGGTAAATGTATGGCTCCTGAAAGAAGATACATTTATTCTTTACTGTCTTGTTTGTTTCTATACATGCAGTATTTCATATGTGGGGTTTTATCCAACTATGGGCACTTTTATTGCCCTGTCGAATGTTAAAACACATTTTCACACTCTCAAGATAGCTTTCTTAGTTCTTTTTTGCCCTGAAATCATGAATGTTTAATGTGATCGAAATGGTGGTGGAAATTACTTTTTTTGTGTGTGTGTGGGGGGCACATCAATAAACAAAATCAATTAACTATTTGATTGAAAAATATTATTTAAAATGACTACAGTTTAATACTATTTTCATTGTTATGCTTTACATTATAGCGTTATATATAAAACAATATATATGTAATATTATGTATACATTTATATATATATATATATATAATATTACATATATATTATTTTTATATACAGCGCTAAAATATAATGGATATAATGCATAATGGTTATAATATTATAATACCAACATTTCTCAATGTTTGGAGTGGTGGAAATGATGCGACTGTAGAAGAGTCGTGGTATTTGAATTCATTGTTTAAATATTAGAATAATTGATTTTCACACAATAATGGATATGGTTTATGTTTATTTTAATATTTGCTTAGATTATCATAATTTAATATGAAATAATTCATTTTTATGATGCATAGTTTCAGAGTTTAATTTTGCAAGTCTGGGTCTGGGACAAGGGTAAAACAATAAAAGTTCTACATAAATGGCATTTGAAAAGTACCTAAATTAACTAATGAAGATATGGTATATATATATATATATATAAAAAGCTTGTAAACTGTTAATTTGAACAGATGTCAACCCCTGGGACATAAACTTGAAAAAAAAACACTTGTTAAAGAGATAGGGAACTGGGCCGCCTTGTTTGTGTACTGAATTTGATAAGCGAGATTGTCTCGCAAACAAACATCCTGAATGGTGAAGCAGGCATCAGTCAATGTCATTCAACAAATAAAATCATTCTGTTGCAATGCCCACTTTCCACCTCCCATTCCGCAAACCCAGACAGATACATATGAATATGTATTGGCTGTGTGATAATAGAGAAGCCAGGTTTTTCTTAAACAGCACTTTTTTTGACAGGGATGCTGGGTAAGGAACAATTGAACAGAGATTGTTTCCAATACTTGCCTTATTTTAGCCTCCCTATCCATCAATAATACTAGAGAATGTCAGAATCTGATTGCACCTTATTTATGGAGGAAAGTTGTCACAGGATCTTGAGGAGGGATGACAATATCTTTGTGTAAATGTGTGTTTGTACAGTATGTGGGTGTGTGAATGTGGGTAGTATATGCAGCTCCCACATGCAAGCCACAAGCTCAGTCTGTTATGTGGGAGCTGTTTGACAGGGAGGAAAAGAATACCACCACGCACATCCCACTCGCAGACACACTTTTCTGCACAAACAAGCTCACCTGTTTATTCCAACTTACATCCACATACTTTCAAAGCTGAAGTGTATTTTCTACGACACCAGAATCACCAAATGCTACTGCAAAATAATGATTGTTTTCAAAGAAGTTTCCCTTAAGAAACTCTGCTCATCTGTTATTAGGCAGGAAAGTGAGTGCCCCGCCTCTTAACTCATGCCATTGGCTAAGCCACTGTTGCTGCGCGAGGCTGGTCGGAATGCTCAAACAAACAGAGCAATGTTTTGATAGGGCCACAGAGACACAGTGTTTACACTTTTCAGGGAAATCGCCCCACTAATGGCTTACTTTTAGTCGTCTCTGCATATTAAGCTGGGACGAGAGTATTTTAACATTAAAAAAATTACACACTTCAGCTTTAATTAACAAGCTGGGCGGTAGTCAAATGCGAGTCCTGCTCATTGCCTTGGCCTCCTTCGGGGAAGATAAATCCTTTCTCTCCTTTTCTCTATAGCTGTAATTTAACCAACGGGGGGCACGATCATTGATGCCAAGCAACATGTCCTTGAATGATAATGAAAAGCCATGAAGCAGATCCAGAAATTCTAGTTTACAATGTTGTTTACTCTGTAGGCACCTCGAATGTCATAAACACATGCGCACACATTGATTTTCCTTTCCTTCGATACCAAGAAAACAATGATGCATGAAATCATTTCTCGGTTTGTTTTCTTGGCATACGCCTAAAAGCTCTACTTTATCGTCTAACAAAAAAGGGGAGAAAGGGGAGAAACAAACAAATAGGCTGCCGACAGTCACGGCCGTCATTCTGCCGTCAACACACGAGTTGGTGTTAACTAGATGGTGAGCTAACAGAGTGCAAGGGAGCAGGAGATGAGACCGCACTTCATGCTCCTCGCCTGTTTCTGTGACTGTAATTATAGTCTAACCATGTTTTTCCCTCTTTGCAGTCATTTTACAGACTCTTCCCTGTTTCTTTCAGCAAACCTCAGTCACGCTTCTCCAAGCCAGACACACAGACAGGACTGAGTCTAGGCAGCTGTCACACACACACTGCAGACGAAGCCAGATGAAGCAACATCAAGATCCTTCTGCTAAGGATTTATTTGATGCTTCTCAGCCTGTATGCTTGTTGTTTCCTTTTGTGAAGCGTCATTATCATGGTATGCCTCGTCAAAATTATGTTAGCGTTGCACAGGAGAGAAGTGATCACAGAGGCAGATCTCAGAATTGGGCAATTTTCTGGTAAACGTGCTGAATAAAAGGCGCAATGCTGCTGGTAAATGGAAATGAGTCTGTGTTTGTAGCATCTGAAGTGTGTCGCATATGTATTTGTGCATGGGAAAACTACAGTTGTTGGGGCAAGACTTAAAAAAAGCGAGGAAAGGTTGAGAGAAATGGAGAGAGCGATTAGAAGATGTCTGAAATGCTTTAGCTGGAGGGCAGCTGGTGTTTTCTGTGGTTCTTCTACACAGATTCAGAACACATTGTTATTTTTGGAAGAAGTCCCCTGTTTCACATAGATCTCACAGTAAGAGTCTAGTCAAATGCCTTCGTCTTTTTCCATACAGTCCCATAGCTCAGTGGGGATGTGACATAAATGTCAAGATTGTGTTATCTGTGCGAGTGCAGGCACCACTGAGCTCTGGACAGACCCGCCCTGTTATCCCTATTTTTCTTCTTCTTTCTTGTCCCTATCACCCCTCCCTCTTTTACTTCCTCGTCCTTTTCTGCATGGGGCTAATTTATAACATTTCTGGATATTCTGATTTCTAATGCTAAGTCAATCTCTCTGTGAAAATGACATGATGGATGGACACGTGGACGCGGTATTATAAATGCCACATCTGTATTGTAAATGGGTTGGCATGACATGTCAAGCAGCGACAGGGGTGCCCTGCAGTGTGACATGCTCCTTCTAGAACTATTTTAAACATTTTCTACTAATTAGATAATGCTGTTTTTATGACTTATATTAGTTGAGAGATTGCATAGGATATTTGGACTCTTAAAAATGTATTTGTCACAACACAGGACTGTTTAAAGAGTTAGATCACCCCAAAATGAAAATTATGTCATAATTTATCACACTACATAAAAAAGATACTTTGAAATGTTTTTTTCCCTCCATACAATGAACGTATAATATATATATATATGTACATACTGTATATATCAGGGTCCATTGACTTTTAATGTATAGACAAAAACAACATATCTTCTTTTGTGAGTAAATAATGACAGTATTTTTTTTTTTTTTTGGTCAACTAAACTATGCCTTTAAATGAGCTGCAAAAACAACTAAAAGGTGATTTAAAATAAAAGGGAGACGAAAAGATAGCATGATGAAATGTAAACTATGCCTGAAATATACACGAAAATGTTTGGGTCTCACCAAGGCTTCATTTATTTTAAAATATTAAAAATACAGTAATACTGTGAAATATTGTTACAACTGTTTCTAATTTAATGTATAGTGAAGCCATGATGTCAACGCTAAATTTTCAGCAGCCATTACTCTAGTATTCAGTGTCAAATGATCCTTCAGAAATCACTCGAATATGCTGATTTAGTACTGAAAAACATATCCTATGATTAGCAATATGGAAACAGGTGTGCTGCTTAATATTTTCATTGAAACAGTGATTTTGTTTTTCAGAATTCTCTGAATAAAACACCATTTGTTTTGAAATAGAGATCTATGTTACAAATGTCTTTAACTTTGTCTAATAAAATAAGAACATCCTCTAACCTAAAATATTGATGACACCCAGATCATTTATATTTCTGCACTGAAATGTTTTTCTTCCTTTGCAGGTGTAAAGAGGGTTACCGTGGACTTCGTTGTGACCAGTTTGTCCCGAAGACAGACTCCATCTTATCTGACCCAAGTATGTATTTTTGTCACTGTATGTTTTCTTCGAAGGAAAATATGAGGGAATCTTTTTAATATCATGGAATACATGGAAAAATGAATGTGGTTTGGAGAAACACAAAGTTATTGAGTTATTTCCATTCCTACTAGCATGAACAAAACAAAGCCCTTCGCAACAAAATGCTTCATGATACAGCAAAGCAAAGATGAGAGAACATAATTTACTTGTTGTTTACTTGCTTTCCAGTCTTAGTTTTAGAAGTTTCCTGCCTCTCTAGCATCAGGTGAGTCTCTTAGCCTCCAGGGCTGAGAGTTCTCTGCCATTTTCTCAGAACCGGGTATTGCTTAAGTAGTTAATTATACCTCTCGCTCTAAGTGCTGAAATTGCCGTCACCCTACAATGCCACACTCTCATGAAAAACAGAAAGCATTTGCATATGCTATTTTCTCTATGGGAAAGCTGATCTCTAACTCTGCAAGAGAAGGATTTTGTTTAGCATGACAGATATAGTGTGTAACCCGTTCACTTTCATTGTCCTGTTACACAATGTGATTGCAGATTCTAACAAGGCTCAAAGTAGCTATGAAATGTTATCAAGTGACCATTTTTCATGAAGAGTACATTTCTCCTGCCATTAAGTCCCTGAATGAAAGTTAAAGTCATTAGCAAATTCTGTGCTAGATGAGTGTCTCACAGGTTAAAAAAGGACTGTGGAGCACAAGTAGTCAAAGGGAAGTTCATAGTCACTGAAAAAACTGTCAAAGAGAGATGTTTGCTTTCTCATAGGTTGGTATTGGAGAGATTTATGAAACCTCACAAAGCCTTGATTCATAAAACCTTCTTCCTGTGACTCAACTTTCTGAGAGCTATTATACCGATATGAAAGGAAGTCGAAGCCAAGGAAGGAGAAAGCGGAGAAAAGAGCTGTCCAGCGCACCGATGAATCTGCAGCGAGGCTGTTTCTCAGAATGGCTTGCGTTGTATGAATTGTCTAGCTTTTGGGGAGTGATCTTTTACAGCGTGTGAGACAGCAACCTAAACTCCCATTTAGTGCACTTTGAGTTGCTGACCCCACTGAGTGGCTGGTAATGGGATCTTTCTGTAGCCTTTCTGCCAAGGCCCTCTTTGCGTCCCTGATGCTTCTCTTTCATATCTGATTTTCTCAATGACAGCATTCATATCCCTGCTATCCATCATGCCCTGAGATGGAGCCCTCATCTCTAGCAGTGCCATCATCTTCTTCACGGATACACCTACACAATCCTGCTGGTATTGCCTCCTCCACCCTCCTGTTGACACCGTTTAGCATTAAAGCAATTTTAGGCCAGTGCTATGGCAAATCTGCTAAATGTAGGTGAAGTTTTCAGCATCTATAGTTTTTGTTTTTGGTTTTTTTTATCCATCTATACAACATTGATAGAGATGAACCAGTTAATCCAGATTATGCTTGAATTACAATCCATTCCTGCCATGAAAACAAACACAACAGGCTTTGGAGTGGCCCGCATGAGGAGCAATCACAGTGCTCAATATTATGTTTTCAATCTATCTTTATTCCACCCTGTAGAGGCCATTGTTTGTTTTTCCTCATTCCTAGTTTGAGCCTGATGTGTATGGCCCAGTGCATCTTTATTCACTTAACCCACCAAATGAGCCACAAATCACCCCCTGGGGGCGGCTTGGCTTTATCTGCCACCTAGTCTTTTGTCCCCTGAGCTTTTTCACAGTCTATCTCTGCTCAACACACTAGCACAAATCATCCGTCGACCGTCGTTTTTGTCTCCATATCGACTACCACATAAGAGATGCTCCAAAGAGCCTTGCTTCTGCTTGGCCCTTACATCCCCCAGCTCCCTGCCATAAGAAAACACTGCAGGTCAGTGTCTGCAGAAACCCCACTGCTCAATATGAGGAATTTTCCCTGCACTATATGATAGCAGGTGTTAGAAGAGTAGTTCACCCAAAATTGAAACCATTTTCTCACCTTCATGTTGTTCTAAAGCTGTATGAATTTCTTTCTTCCACAGAACACAAAGGAGAAAATTTGTTTTTATGCTCTTTTGGGGACTGGTGTTTTCAAGCTGTAAAAACATAAAATACATAAAAGTATCATCAAAAGTGGTCTATATGTATCATGCACTTTGCACTATATTTCATTTCTTTTTAAAGCCAAATTATAGCTTTTTGAAAAAGAAAAAAAAAACATGAACATGAACAAACATGAACAAATCAAAAGTTCATGAGCAGTGGTGTAATGTAACGAAGTAATAATACTTCGTTACAGTACTTAAAGGGGTGGTTGATTGCGATTTCAATTTTTTAACATTAGTTAGTGTGTAATGTTGCTGTTTGAGCATAAACAATATCTGCAAAGTTACGAAGCTAAATGTTCAATGCAAACGGAGATATCGTCTTTTAAAATTCTGGCGATTTAATGCCTACAAAAACGGCTGGCAGGGACTACAAGGGGTTACTTCCCGGGTTCGTGACATCACAAACCCAGATAAACCCCGCCCTCGGGAAAAGGCAGCAAAGGGGGCGAGGCCATGCTGCGCTGCTTTAGAGAAGAGGAAGAGAAAACTAGGGGTACACGTAAAAATCTATTCATATATGAATCGCGATTCTGTCTTCTAATGATTCTAATGGATTCACAAGTTTCAAAATCAATGTTCTAAAGCAGCAGTTCTTAATACTGTTCCTCGCGTCCCCCTGCTCTGCACACGCTCTGCATCCCTCTCTCTCTCTCTGTCTCTCTCATTCAGCTCAGCTCCAACAATGAACTGTTCCAATTATACACTTATTTTCACATAGCTATGAGAAACGTTAAACATGGACGCGCGTGCGGTAGGGATGTGCATCTCATGACTGAGGACGATACGATACGCATCTCGATGCATAGCCAACGATGCGATACGATTCACCCCTATTAAGATGCAATGCGATCCGATTTCGATTTGATTCGATTCAACACAATGCGATTCGAAACAATACGATGCAATGGAAAAAATATGATCACTTTTAATGCCTCAAGGCCTGTTTCATAAAACAAGTTTACCAAATAAGCCAGGCTTATTTCAGTTAGTCTGACTCATTGTCAAATGATTTGGTTCCATAAAGCAAATTTAACATAGATCAACTTCAGTCACTGTGGCAACATATGCTAGGAAACTAACCTGGTCTAAAGCAGGTTAACTGTCAGACTAAGCTGAGTTCCTGTAACACTGACCAATAGGAACACTATTATTTGACCTTTTTTTATTACAGTTTCTAGCCAAGCAGAAAGGCTCTCTCTGGTTTTATGACAGCTGTACCTTTGCAGAACAGATAGCAGAACATTAGAACATTACAATCTAAAATTGCTCTTTAAAGCATTAAAATAACTAAATTAAAAGTTAAAATCACTGAATTAAAATGAAAATAAATAATAAAGAAGATGACTTCTAAACTGCTATAAGAAACACACATTAACTCATTTGAGCTTAATAATTAGTACTGAACTAGCTTACATTTGATTTACCAATTACAATAGTCCCTTTACAGTTACCTACTGCTATCATAAAAATACACTTATATGAAGGTTTAAAATTCTACAAAAGGCACATTTAATGTCCAACAACCAATATTTTAACAAAATGTATATTTTACTCAGAATTATTGCGCTCCTATTCGATTGCGCGCCATCTGTTTAGCACGCATGCGCGCAGCTGCGCTCGTTCACTCGCGCAAGCCTCGTCCACTCCTGACAGCAAAATGGATATATTTGCATGACTTTCTAACATTTACAGATGAAAAATATACCTGTGACATGCCAGTTATGCACTGAGGAAAACACAACGTCTCAAATGCATTAAACAGCACGAATATATTTGCTGTTTGCCATGGTGGATCGATTTGATCCATGATCTACATTGCGGGCTGCTTAAGAATAAGCGTGCACAAATTAGTGAGATTGTGTGAATTGAATTTGTCATTTATGGAACCACTTTAGCCCTGATTGATTTGTTAGGTTATTTCAAGTCAGGTTTTGGACTTTAATCACAGTTTTTCTCGGGTCTCCATGGTGTTGTGATGTGTCATATTCAGGCAGCAGCGGTGATGAGAGACAAACAAATATTTAGATCACAGATTACTGGTCACTTTCTAAATAATAAAAGTATAGCACATCCACTAGTAATTATATATAAATAAATCGTTTTTTACCGATGCAAATATGTTTGAAATGATGCATCGCGATACAAATGCCGACTTGTAGCCGATACACACTTTTTAAACCGATGCATCACATTGTTAACTTTTTATGCCGATGCACCGAGCAAATCGGGGAATCCTCCCATCCCTAGCGTGCGGTTGCCATATTGTATTAAAGTTTTAATCAGGATAAAACCGTATATTAAAAGCTAACATAAGCAGTAGCATTTACAAATAACAGCATATTTAAAAGTATGAGACAACAACAAACAAAAAACATAGGCCTACCATTAAAAGCCGTGCTTGCAGTTTCTGCAAGATCTTCTTCAATAATGTCCTCTGCTTCTCAATCGGGCTCAAACTGATAAGCGATATATTAATGATGCCGTTGTTTACAATACAACCGGAGCGCATGCTGCTGAGGGGAGGGGCGGGACGATTAGACGCGCACTAGAGGCAGTTTAGCCAATCACAACACACTGGGCTAGCTTCAGAGCCCATCACCTATTTCTGAGGGCGGGGCTTCATAAAAACAGAAAAAGATCAGCCCGTTTCTCAGAAAAGGGACAAAGCTGTTTGGAATAAAGGTAAATTATGTGAAAAAGAATGTGTTTATTTAAAAACAAAGCATTAACACATGTTAGACTGCACCCCATGAACCACCCCTTTAAGTATTTTTGGGAGCATCTGCACTTTACTTGAATTTTTATATTTAAGCCAACTTTCACTTTTACTCCACTACATTTCCTAATTAAAATGTATACTTTTACTCCGATACATTTCCCCAAAGCATATTCGTTACTACAAAATAAAGTCAGAGGAACACA